AAGGTGAATTTGGTGACCGACCTGATGTATTTGAGTCATTATTAGAGGCTGCCAAAAAGCCTTTGTATCCCGGGTCCAAAAAATACACAAAACTCTAAGCCGTGCTTACACTATTTAACATTAAGTCTAAGCATAACTGGAGTGACACTAGTTTCACTTCTTTGTTGACTGCGTTATGTGATATGTTTCCAGATGGGAATGAACTTCCTAATTCCTATTATTTTGCAAAGAAACTAATGTGTCCATTTGGTTTGGAGTATAAGAAGATACATGCATGTCTTAATGATTGTGTCCTGTATCAAAATGAATATGAAGAGTTGGAGGAGTGTCCACGTTGCGGTAATTCGTGTTACAAGCGAGAAAGCTGCAATGCTGGTATTAAAGGACCTCCTGCCAAGGTGTTGTGGTATCTTCCTTTTATTCCAAGGTTAAAGCGTCTATTTTCAATACCAAAAGACGCCAAGAACCTGAGATGGCATGCTAAGGGAAGAAAGAAAAATGGTTTTTTGAAGCATCCTGCTGACTCTCTACAATGGAAGAACATCGATATGAAGTTAGGGCATTTGGTGGTGAAGTCAGAAATTTAAGGCTTGGGTTGTGCACGGACGGTATGAATCCATTTGGAACTCTTAGTACTAAACATAGCACATGGCCGTTACTTTTAGTGATTTACAACTTGCCTCCGTGGTTGTGTATGAAACGGAAATATATAATGCTTTCACTTTTGATAACGGGGCCAAGGCAACCTGGAAATGACATTGATGTTTATCTTGAGCCCCTTATTGATGATTTGAGAAAGATGTGGGACGAAGGTGTTACCGTTTATAATGCCCATAAGAACGAGATGTTTCTTTTGCGTGCTGCCCTTATGAGGACCACTAATGATTTTTTTGCATATGGAAATCTGTCCGGGTACAAGAACAAAGGGCATAAAGAATGTCCCATTTGTATTGATGACACACCGAACGTGTACCTTGAGAACTATGGCAAAGATATGTATGTGAGGACCCGAAGATTTCTTAGGCGCGATCACCCGTATCGTAAGCAGAAAAAAGGCCTTCGATGGGAAAGCTGAGGAGGGGGTTGCGCCTAGGCCATTGAGTGGAAAAGAGGTTTATGCAAGAGTGAAGGGTATTCATTGTGTTTTTGGTAAAACAACGAAACCAATTGACCCACACGCTCTCTTTAAAAAGGAATCAATCTTTTGGAAGCTTGAGTACTGGAAAGAACATGATGTTAGACATTGTCTCGATGTGATGCATATAGAGAAGAATGTTTGTGATGCAATTTTGGGGACAATTATGAACATTCCTGGAAAAACGAAGGATGGAAAGAGTGCGCGGTTAGATTTGCAAGCGTGGGGTGTTCGTCCGGAGTTGTGGGTTCAAGCTAAGGTAGGGATGGCGAAGGTTAAGGAAAAGGGAAACGAAGATGGTGGTCGAAACAGTAAGGGGAAGCGCAAGGAAAAGGCCACAGGTATCGCAAAGAAGAAAGGTGATGGAAAAGGAAAGAACCAAAAGGTGTATTTATCTCCAGCTTGCTACACATTATCAAAAGAAGAAAAACAAAGGTTTTGTGCTTGTTTGTATGACATTAAGCTTCCATCTGGGTTCTCGTCAAACATGAAAAGGTTTGTTTCCTTAAATGGAGAATTGAAGGTTACAAGTATGAAATCCCATGATTGTCACATGATGATGCAAGTATTCCTACCGATTGCAATTCGTGGTATTTTACCAAAGCACGTGAGAGAAGTTATAACAAGCCTCTGTGGGTTTTTCAATACTATTTGTAGCGAATTTCTTGATCCCTTTACACTTGATGCTCTCCAAGCGAATGTTGTGGTAACTTTTTGCAAATTTGAGATGTTTTTCCCACCTTCAATTTTTGACATAATTGTGCATTTGATTTTGCATTTGGTTTATGAGATTAAGTTGTGCGGTCCAGTATTTATGAGGTGGTGCTACCCTTTTGAACGACACATGGGTACACTGCAAGATAAAGTAAGAAATCCAGCCCATCCGGAAGGCAGTATGATACAAGGAATTGTGTCCGAGGAGATTGGGAATTTCGTGGCAGAGTATGTTGCGTTGCCGAACCTATTGGGCTTCCCACTTCCCGACATGAAGGGAGACTTCATGGTCATGGCACAATCGGGTCAAAAAGGATCTGGGCTGCTCGAGATCAAATCATGCAAGCTCACCTATTTGTGCTTCATCATATTGCGGAGGTTTACCCATATTTAGAAGAGCACATGGATAGTTTGCGTGTTGAATATCCATCAAAAGGGGAAAGAGCACTAATTCAGTTGCATAATAAGATGTTTGTGAAGTGGTTCTATGATCGTGTGATGCGTCAATTGGATGAGACTATGTCTGATACAATAAAGTGGCTAGCTTATGGTCCAAAGGAAGATGTTCATTCATTTGAGGGATATGACATAAATGGGTACACATTTTAGACTGAAAGTCGGGATCAGAAATCCTCATCGACTCAAAATAGTGGTGTCACTCTTGTGGCTTCATTAAGAGAGTTTGCAAGTGCGAAGGATACATCACCAGTTGACGCACTATTATCATACTATGGACGAATTCAGGAAATATCGGAACTAGATTACCGTGACTTCAAGGTTGGTCTATTCAAGTGTAAATGGGTCGATAATAATAGGCGCAACGTGAGAAATGATGACTTCACTCTTGTAGATCTTGGCCACTTGCGGGATAAACTTGAACCATTCATCCTTGCATCTCAAGATAAGCAAGTGTTCTATGTAACTGACCCGTCCGATCCAAAATGGTCCATCGTCCTTGCTGGAAAAAGGAGAATTTTAGGGGTTGGAGAGGTTGAGGACAAGGAAGAGTATGATGCATTTGATGATTCTCCCCCTTTCACTGCTCCTACACTTGATGTAGCAACCAATGTAGATGATGATGCTACGTATATTCGATATGACCACAATGAGGGAATACACGAATGAGGTACTTTTATTGATGCATGTTTTATTTACTAAATATATTATGCTCCGACAAACTTGTTTATTTTAGGAAGTGTTTTATTTTTTTTCATTTTAAGAGGATTATATGTGAATTTTTTATGAAACCAAAGAAGTTGGGTAAGTGTTTGTCTTATTTCGTGCCTCAGATTCGATTGCCATTACTGATGACTAACAACATGCTCTGCTTGTTTACTGTAGGTGTGCACATATCATGGATCCTGATGAGAACCATCATTCTGAAGAGGAAATATGGATGATGAAGATGATGACGAGTTGTATGATGTTGATAAGGAGACGGATATGAGGGAACCGGAAGACCAAGCTTATGACGAGCTGAGTTCCAACAAAAGCTTGATGAATACGAGCGTATAGCTGAAACTGCCCACCTATTGAGGATAATGTGGTTTCCGAGGTTGTAGGTGATTCACATCGTGAAACTCAAATGCAAATCCAAGTGAAAACCACCGGTGGTGGAGTAGGGGTAAAGCCACCGGTAAACAGAAGGAGTAGGGGTGCAACAAGAGCTTTCAAGAAACCCGGCGTTCCTATGGTGCTTGAGTTTGACGAGTTAGGTCAACCTACTGGCCAATGGCGCGACAAATTTTCTAGTCAAGTTGGCATTCTAACTCGTAAAATACCAATCAAACTTGAGTTCGCCGAGATACCTCACGGGTTGCTTCAAACATTTTGGGACGATACAATGGTAAGTATGATTATTTTACAAACCTAGCGCATAACCTTCTCACGGGATGTGTATATCAAAATATGTCACTAAAAGTAGTATTATTAATTAATATATATGTAGTAAGAAAAAAATTGCATCGTCAACCCCCGAGAACTAACCCGAGGGCTGCAGCTGGCAGCTGCCCGGGCAGCAACCTGGGCTGGTTCAGCTGCCTACGCTGCTGCAGCTGCCTCGGCAGCAGCCTGGGTGCTGCCAGGCAGCAGCGGTGCTGCCCCGATTCGCGGGTTTTTAAATTTTTTATTTTTTATTTTTTTTCTCTTGCCTAACATGGATGTTTGCGCCAATTACAGAGTATGTTCCATATTCCTGATGAGCTAGCCAAGAGAAAAGTCTTTAAAGATTTTGTACAAGAGAGATTCAAAAACTTCAAGAGTTACTTGAGGACGAGATGGATCCATAAGAAAAGAAGGAGAAGACCAAAGAAAAATGTGACAGCTGATGGAGAGGAGGAGAAACCTGATAAGAAACCGTGAGATTTATATCCACAAATAACGGTCAAGGACTGGGAGAATTTTGTGGAAAAATCTTCCACTAGGACCGCACTTGTATGTTTTTATTTATCAATAGAGTAGGCTATTGATTCTTAGTTTGTTACAAATTAAAGACTGATGCTAACATATATTTCTGAATGTGTAGGAAAAAATCGAACAAGCTAGAATCAATGCCGGGAAGAAATTGTATAGCCATCATATGGGTTGTAAGACATTTGCGGAGTCTAGACCAAGTGGATCAAAGCGTGTCTATACCCCAAATCTGTGCTTCCATCATCTGATAAACCACTTTCTTCCACGGTCACAACTTTGGTTAATCGTGCAATTGACTAGTGGTGTGCTATGCATGGGATCGACAAGAAAACCGGCAAGTATGTCATGCAACCGGATAAGAAAGTAGTAGCAGACACTAGTGGAAAAAATCTTATTTGTAACAAGCTATTCGTAACAGACATATGATTTTCCGTTACAATTAAGTCATTCGTAACGGGCAAATTCAATGTCCGTTACAAAAAAGTTGTGAAATGGGCAGGAAAAGGGTTATTCGTAACGGACATATTGGTGCCCGTTACGAAAAAGTTGTTATTCGTAACGGACATATTGGTGCCCATTACGAATAAGTTGTTATTTGTAACAGGCATTATTCTGCCCGTTACGATTAAGTAACTAATCGTAACCAACAAATATTGCTCGTTACAAATAGAAAAGTCAACAGAATTTTGACCTTGTTATTTGTAACTAACATAGGGTGTCCGTTACGAATAAAGTTTTAAAGTAAGCCCTAAATTTTTACTTTCCCCTTTTCACTCCCTCTGTTAAAAAAATTCCTCTTTCTCTCTCCAATATTGAAGCAGCTCCCACGCGTTTTGCTCCTCTCATTCTCTCTCTTCTCCTCCATTGAAGCGCACTTTGAGTTCTCCATTATTGAAGCGCACTCCGAGTTCTCCATTATTGAAGCGCACTCCGAGTTCTCCATTGAAGCGCACTCCGAGTTCTCCATTAGTGAAGCGCACTCCGAGTTCTCCATTGAAGCGCTGTATGAGTTCTCCATTGAAGCGCTGTCTGAGTTCTCCATTGAAGCGCTCATAGTTCTCCATTAAAGCGTACTCTTTCTCTATCCTCCCCCAATTTCGTAACCCTTGTTTCAGTTTGCTTAATTGCAATTACTTAATTATAGGTTTTATTTTTTTTTCCCCAAATTAATTGATTGATTTTATTATTTTCCATTTGTTTTGGGTTTTATTATGTTTTAGTTTAAAAGCCTTTGAATTTTGAGCTAAGTATGAATTAATTGATTGATTTTTTTTCCCCAAATTATTACTATCTTTCTGGATCCCCCCTTACATCGTGAATCCGTTTATTTGCAGTTGCCCTGCGCATGATAAGCTTTGGATGTGATTACCACTGGGCATAAAAAGATTCTCGCTTTGATCAAGAGGTAGTTTTATATTTTGTGGTCTAATTAAATTGCGGCCTTGGTCTCTCTCTGCAATTGTATATCGTGATTGCTTGCTGTTCCTATTTCTCATTGTTAGTTCATTACATTTTCTCACTGTTATCCCTTGCTTGTAATGGCTGCAAGAATTTGTGAGCAGATGAGCACAACTTGTGGATTCACTTTAGTGTGGATACGCTATGATTGCCTTTCACAGATTAGTGATCTTATTTTCTTTCTCAGATTTTATTTTCCGCTTCAACTTTAAGTGATACTTGCATGTAGTATATTGGATACTACGTATGTTTTTGTGCATTCGGCATGTCGGCCTTTTATAAGCTGTGTGCTGAAAACTATTGTATATTTAGCTTGTTTTCTAGGTTAAGTGTTCAGTTGTTTTAGCTCTAAATTATAGTTTTCTGAACCTAATGTTTATTGTACATTCTAACAAAGTCCTCATAGAAGCTGCTCCAAGTTTATTGCTGACTAAGTCATTTTTAATACCACTTATCAGTTGAATGGAATACCATTAGTTAAAATAATGCAATACTTCTCCCTGCACTAGGAACTTCTACGTGCATTATTTTTGACTGTTTGGTGGATTGTCTAAAGTGAGGTTGAAATGTACTGGTATTTTTTTGAATATGTCTTGCAAAAGATTTGACATCTAAGGAGGGATTTTCTTTATAAAATTGCTAATTATTTTGTTTATTCAACTGATTTTAGATTAGGAATGTAATGTAGATTCACTAGATTGCATGTTTATTGTTTTATATGGAAGGTTGGCTTATTTGACTAGTACAATACAACTGGCAAAATTAGTATAGATTTAAGTTTGCTTGTAGCTCAAGTAGTCAACATATGGTTATCCATATTTTCAGTCTTTTCACTTCCACATTGAAATGAACAAATAGAGGACATAAGAGATTGAGGGATGCCCTCAAGTGCTTTTGTTTAAAAAACATGAAATTCCCTATAAATTCCAACAATAATTATTATTATTATTATTATTTTATATTTTGGTTGGTTGAACCTTTTGTGTCCTGCTGTCATTAGCTTATGTCTTGCTTAGTGTCACATTCCGAATCTATTTTCTGATTTGTACTGCTATGAATTAGCATTTTTGGAAAAGCGTATTAGATAATGCAATATATATATATATATATATATATATATATATATATATATATATATATATATATATATATATATATATGTTAGTGAGTGAATTAGAGGATTAATGCTATGAATAAGAGAAGAATAGGGAGAGATTGTTATAAAGAATACTATTTAAAGTTTTTTTTGTTCTTTTTATACAGTTTGGGAGAGAAGAAGCATCTCGAAAGCTTGTATTACTCTTTATTTTTAGCTTTTAATGCAAATTTCTATCAAAATTCTTCAGAATTTCTGCAGAAATTTCCAGTTCATAACATGTACTCATTTGGCTCTTAGATTTTTGTTTTCTGAATTTGTCTCATTTAAGTGAATTCATGGACTTGACTAACTTGGGCTAATTGCTTCCATGAATTTTTTAGTTGGTTGTGTATGTTTAAATTCCTAGCATGAAAGTGTTATTAGTTGTCATGTATGAGTGCTCTTAGATCTCTATTAATTTGGCACTAACATTTATTGTACTAGAAGACATCTTTAAGTTGGTCTGACCCAGTTCTTTTGCTTTTCAGATTCTGTGTGATTGTTTTTATCAGAGGGGAAGATACTTGTTGAAGACATTGTTAGGCTAGGCAGTCAGAAGCATGGTGAGGAAGCTGAATCTGAAAGATGAATAGATTCAAGATTTATCCACTTTAGAAGTAAATATTTATTGAATGCTTAACTATTAGCTTAGGTAGAACAACGTAATATTTTTAGTGTTGTTGTATATGTTGGATAAATTTATACAAGTTTTTATTTGTAATGTGTTACTACTTCAGTTTTTATATTACGTCGTATTAATTTTTACGAAAGATTGTTCGGTATAATTGCTTTTTACAGGAACAAGTATATTATTACATGTTTTAATTAATATATATTAATTATATATAAATACATGCTGTCGAAATTAAATAAAATGAAAATTTAATTTAATAATTATTTGTAACGGGCAGCAAAATTGTCAGTTACAAATAACCAGTTATTCGTAACGGGCACTTTTGTTGCCCGTTACAAATAAGTGTTAAATTATATACCACAAAACTCTATTCGTAACGGACATTTAAGATGTCAGTTACGAATAATCACTTATTCGTAACGGGCGTTTTATGTGCCCGTTACAAATAAGGACTTATTTTAATACAAAAAAATTTATTCGTAACTGACATTTCAGATGTCCGTTACGAATAACCCCTTATTTGTAACCAACATTTAAAATGTCCGTTACGAATAATGGGTTATTCGTAACGGACATCTAAAATGTCAGTTACGAATAATGGGTTATTCGTAACGGACATCTTAAATGTCAGTTACGAATAATGAGTTATTCGTAACGGACATTTGAAATGTCCGTTACGAATAACTCATTATTCGTAACGGACAGTGCCCGTTACGAATAACAATGGCCATCTGTAACGGCCGCATACGTAACGGACGCTGCCCGTTACGGATGGCCCCTTTTTGCCCGTTACGGATGAGGATTTTCCACTAGTGAGATGCACTTGTAAGCAAACTTTACTACTTATTAATTGTATTTTCTTGTCAAGTACATCTTACTTAGAGCCGATAACGTTTTGTGTTGTCACAGCTCGAGCATACATCGGAAGTGATTGAAGGCAAGCTGACTCTACGCATCGAAAATGATCCTTTCACCTTAGCTTTGGGAAAACCATACCACCCTGGCCGAGTAATTGGTTTTGGCGGGAAACAACTAGGGTGGGAGAAAGTGATGGGTTTAGAATACACCAAATCAGGAAAAAGCAGATCAAGTGTTAATTTGCCACATCGTATTGATGAGAAGGGAAAGGAATCAATTAAGGCGGAGATACGCGCGGAGCTGCAAGAACAGATGCAAAGTCAATTCAATGCCATTCTGAAGCACATGAACTTGACGTTTTTGCCATTTCCCTCGAGTACCCAAGTAGACTCATGTAGTAACCCAGGTGGCCCCGAGGACGATCCAATAGTTGAGAGAGAGGTAATTTTAGTACAAGGACGAATTACGTCATATGAAGTTCGTCAAACGAGGTCGTTTGCATGTTTAATTTTTTAACTTTTGCAGGATCCTAGTCCTATGGATGCAGAGTCATTGAAGTGAGCAAATCCGATGCCTGGACCTTTCCCAGATGTTAAGGTAAACGTCACTACGTAATCGGCTTTTCTTTTGTTAGGCTTTCGTTTGTTATTTCATAACTTATGTCCTAACTCCTAATTAAATATGTAGGAAGAGACGCCTTGTGAGCTTCTTCACCCCGGGGAAAAACATGGTGGACAGTTGCAGTTGGTGGGGTATGGTAGTGCACAACCTTTTGACAAGGTCCATTTTAAGTCTAATACTAGCACCCATTACATCTCGGTCGGGATCGATTCTATAGTTCCAGGGTTTGAGGACTTACCACTACCGGTGCCTAGAGAGGAATATGATTTTTTTAAGTTGCGTGACGCGACCGGTAGCTTTGTGCAATGGCCATGTGATCGGTTGAGGTTGGTAGGAGGGGTAAGTAAACACTACTTGTATGTAACTACTTGTATGTTTAACATGTGCTTTGTGCAATGACCATGTTCTTTTATGTTACTAGATTACTGTGGAAAATCAGTCCGCTAAAAGGAAGAAGGTGGAGAAGCCAAAATCTAAGGAAGAAGGTCCTCCGAACATGGAACAAGGACAAGTGTCGAAGAAGAGTTCGAGAGCTTCATGTACTCCACTGGTAGAAGCCGATGTCCTTAAGTCTCTTTCGAAAGCATGCACTTTTCTTCACAACCGTGTTAGTGAGTTGCCTACGGGTACACATATTCAAGTGAACTTGCCTAAGGCATTGTTCCACTATGATGAGGATGCGATCGCATACATTTCTAGAGAGGATCTGACGGAATTTCTAGCTGGTTCCATGCTTAACATTTCCATCATCCAAACTTTCATGTGGTAAATTAACGAGACTATTTCTAAACATATTGTATTTTTGATATTTTCGTACCAAAACAATGCAACTAGTAATTACTTGCACACATTACTTTCTTGAAGGTCACTACAGGTGCTCCTAAGTAGTAAACCCGATGGTGAAGCAGCAATTGGGTGGTTATGCCCCGAGCAGACCTCCGTAACAAAATGCTTGCATAACCCTCGTGATGTGATAGATTACCTTGAGCGGGGTATTAGAGAATCAATGCGTGCGGGAAACAAGTTCATATTAGCCCCTTGCTTTGAGGAGTAAGTTTAAATATGTCACTCTTAATTTGTTTGTTAAGTATAGATGTTGACGTATAACAATTGATGGATTGATATTTGCTTTAATATATATGTAGTCTACATTGGAGCCTTATGGTGATTTGTGTTTCCAATAACACAATCTACTACTTTGACTCGGCTCGTATATGGCCACCAAGGAAGTTTCTAGTGAATAACTTATTGAATAGGTACATACCGCTTCCTATATATTGTTTTGTATCATCACCTAAGTGATTGAGTGGCTATGTTCCTAAATTTATGCTTTTTTTTTTAAGTGTTATGAATTAGTTGAATTTTCATTCGGTTGCGGGTCCCACGTGGAAATATTCGAAGGTAAAGCCTTGATATATTGATTTATTTAATAAAATTGCCTTGAGTTATGGCTATGCATGACTATTTTAACTTTGTGTCATGTTAGTGTGCGCAACAAGACAACGACGTTGATTGTGCCCTGCACGTAATGAGGTTTATGCATGACATAGTCAATAGGTGCACTGAAGCCAAACACATTGAGGAGGTACTTGTTTTTACTTTTTTTCGGTTCAATTTTGGATAAAGGTCGTCCTAAAACTAAGTATAATGCTAATTTTCTATGATTCCAAATATTAGACACCTAAGACTAGTTGAAATTGACATGTTATGATAAAGAAATAGCTCATTAGATAAGAAATATAGAAATCGGGCAAAGTAGTAATGAATAAGCGATTTTGGGTAAAAGCCGTCCAAATACTTAGTAAAATGATCTTTTGATATGATTTCAAAAATTAGACACCTAAGACTAGATAATAATGACATGTCATGGCAAAGAAATAGTTCATTAGGTAAGAAATGTATAAATCGGGCAAAGTAGAAGTCAAATAGGCGATTTTGGGTAAAGCCGTCCTAAAACTTAGTAGAATGCTAATTTTCTATGATTTCAAACATTAGACACCTAAGACCTAGTTATAATTGACATGTTATGATAAAGAAATATTAGGTAAGAAATGTATAAATCGGGCAAAGTAGAAGTCACATAGGTGATTTTGGGTAAAAGCCGTCCTAAAACTTAGTAGAATGCTAATTTGCTATGATTTCAAACATTGGAAACCTAAGATTAGTTGTAATTGACATGTTATGATAAAGAAATAGCTCATTAGATAAGAAATGTAGAAATCGGGCAAAGTAGTAGTGAAATAGGCGATTTTGGGTAAAAGCCGTCCTAAAACTTAGAAGAATGCTAGTTTGCTATGATTTCAAACATTAGACACCTAAGACTAGTTGTAATTGACATGTTATGATACAGAAATAGCTCATTAGATAAGAAATGTAGAAATCGGGCAAAGTAGTTGTGAAATAGGCGATTTTGGGTAAAAGTCGTCCAAATACTTAGTAAAACCTTCTTCTGATGCGATTACAGACCTTAGATACCCAAGACTAGTTAATATGGGTCTGATCTGAGGACAAATTAGGTCATTTGAAATAAAATGCAGAAAATGGGAAAGTAAGCACCCGAGGCAACTACAGCACCCGAGTCAACAGCCTTGGGTTATGCCAGGCAACTGCAAGCAGCCACCAGGCAACTACCCATGCAACTGCACCAGCAGCCTAGGCAGCAGCCCAGGCAGCCGCATCAGCAGCCTAGGAAGCTGCGCAGGCAGCCGCAGCAGCCACCAAGCAGTTGTAGCAGCAGCCAGGCCACTGCACAGGCCGCTGCAGCAGCCACCAGGCAGCTGCACAAGGAGGTGCAGCCATCGGGCAGCTACACAAGCAGCTGCACCAGCCACCAGGCTGCTGCCAAGGCAGCTACAACAGCCGTGCAAGCACCCGAACCGCTGCATTAACCATGGGAAGCAGCCCGTGGATTAATTTTTTGGCCTATTCATGGCACCTCATGCAATTTTATGTAATTTTTACGTACTTGTTAGTGAATAAGATAAATAAGTCACTTACGCCGATTTTTGTTAAAAATCGTACTAAAACTTAGTTGGGTGCTAATTTGATGTGATATTATAAATTATATGCCTAAGACTAGGTATTATGGGCATGGTTTGAGAAAAAAAGTTCAAACGAAATAAAATGTAAAAAATGGGCAAGTAGAAGTGGAATAGGCGATTTTGGGTAAAATCCGTCCTAAAACTGAGTAAAATGATCTTTTGCTATGATTTCAAACAATAGACACCTAAGACTATTTAATAATGATAAGTTATGATAAATAAATAGTTCATTAGATAAGAAATGTAAATAATGGGCAAGTAGAAGTGGAATGGGCGATTTTTGGTAAAACCCGTCCTAACACTTAGTAGAATGCTAATTTGCTATGGTTTCAAACATTAGATACCTAAGACTAGTTATAATTAACATGTTAAGATAAAGAAATAGTTCAATAGATAAGAAATGTAGAAATCGGGCAAGTTAGAAGTCAAGTAAGCGATTTTTGGTAAAAGCTGTCCTAAAACTTAGTAGAATGCTAATTTTCTATGGTTTCAAACATTAGACACCTAAGAATAGTTATAATTGACATGTTATGATAAAGAAATAGTTCATTAGATAAGAAATATAGAAATCGGGCAAGTTAGAAGTCAAATAGGCGATTTTTGGTAAAAGC